TTGGGGAGGCATGTATATGTGTGTACATATTTGTATGTGTGAAAATATGCGTTTGGGTCACATGTTCACATACGTGTCTGCACATGTATGTGTGTGTACATATTTGCATGTGTGAAGATGTGTGTGTGTGCGCGCATGTTTGCATGCTCACCACACATGTGGAAGTTCGAGGCTGATATCTACAGTCATCCTTCACCAATCTTCCATGTTATTCATTAAGGCAGGGCCTCTCAAGCAAACCCAGATCTCTCTGACGTGGCTGATGTGGTTAGTCTTGCTAGCCAGCTTGCTTTGATGACCCCTGTTCCTGCTTTCCCAAGCTGGAATTACAGGTATGCTGCCATGCCCACCCAGCATTTATGCTGGTCCTGGGGGTCTGAACTCTGATTTCCATGCCAGAACAACTGAGCCATCTCCCCAGGTCTTTATATTTGGAATTAAACTGAAAGTCTATTGGCCTTGACTCCCGAAGAGTAGTTCCCTCTTCCATACCCATGCAATCTCATCAGTCCCAATTCATGCCCCACATTGTCCTCCAGACATTCTAGTGGTTTGTCTGCCTGCCTGCTCGCCTTTTTTTCCTTCTTTCTTTTATTTATTTTTCTAGCAGTTATGGTTTTGTACAGCGTAATTTTATCCATCTGGAATGTTCTTGCTCTTCCCACACCTGGCTCTTCTTAAAATTTAGTCTTAGTTTCCCTTCCTCAAGAAGTTTTTTGTTTTTTGTTTTTGTTGTTTTTGATTACTTTGTGTCTGCCACAGGAGCATACCCTCCCTCCGCCATTGCATTTTCCTCCCCCTCCCCTCCTCCCTCCTCTGCCTTCTCCTTCTGAGTGTTTAGCATGATCTTTGTAAGTTTATCTGTCAGCTTACTTACTGGCTGTGTTTTCTAAGCTAGAGACTAAAACTCTAAAGGCATAGTTAATTAAATAAATGAGTTCACATGGGAGCCACTTTAATTTCATTCAATGACCTGGCATTTGCCCTTATCAGTAGTAGGGACCCAAATAGTGACTAGAGGACAGCTGCACCCACTTTTACTTATGTGGATTCTGTCTGTTGATATCAGTGGTTCCTGACTCACGATGGCTTGACTTGTATTTTATTTCTGACTCTAGGATTGAGGGAGTGCAATTTGCATTCACTGGAAATTGTATTTTGAATTTTGATCTTTTTCCCAGGGTACCAATATGTGCTATGGTGCTCTCTAGGGAATCTGGGCAGGAAGCCATCACTCCTAATCAGCCACATGAGCAGGAGGCTAAACAACAGATACCTTCTTTTTAAATTTTAATTTTTATTTTCCTTTTTTGGGTCAGGGTCTCATGTAGCCCAAGCTGGACTCAAACTTTAGCTAAGGATGACCATGGGTTTCTGAACCTTCTGCCTCCACCTCCCAATTGCTGGATTATGAGTGTGTATTACCACGTGTAGCTTTGTGTAGTACTAGGGGTCTAGACAACTACTCTATCCACTAAGCTACACCACCAACTACAAACAGACATCTCAGTGTTCACATTGTTAAGCTATGTTTGGTAGGTGAGTTTTTTGTTTTTGTTTTCTTTAATGTCTTTAGTTTGTATGAATGTTTTCCTACACACACACACACACACACACACACACACACGATATAGATATGTACCACATTAATGCCTGGTACCCAAAGAGTCCAGAAGAGGTCTTTGGATCCCTTGGTACCAGAGGGGAATGGTTATGAGCTATCATGTGGGTGGGTGCTGGGAATTGAACCCAGGTTATCTGCAAGAGCAGCGAGTATTCTTAACTGTTTTGAGCTTGAGATATTTTCACTTTACAATGAAAGGGTTTACTTGAACATAATGCCATTGTCAGTAGAGGGGCATCTACTTTTATTTAGAAGTTAAAATGCTGGGGCTGGAGAGAAGGCTCAGTGGTTTCTGCCTGTCTAAAGGACTCAAACAACATGAGGGACAGCTCTCCCTCAGTTGTCTGTAACTCCAGCTGCAGGGGATCCATCACCTTTCCCTGGCCTCCTTGGACATGGAATTCATGTTCACATGTTCTGTGCAAGCACACCACACACACACACACACACACACACATTCACACACACACACCTACACAATTAACTGAATCTTAAAAAAGAACTAGAAAAGTCTAACCAAATAATTTTAATTTTAAGGAGATTGAATCTATGGTTGAAAGTCTCCGAAAAGAAAAGCTCAGACATAAAGGCTTCAGTTATAAATCCAACCAACTATTTGAGAAAGAGGCAATGTTCACACATCTCAAAGTTCAAATATACTGCAGAGAAGGGAATGCTTGCATACCCATTTCCCAAGGCCAGCATTATGCTAACACCAAATCTAGGCCATGATACTACAAGAAAAATAAAGGTTACTTTTCCTGATGAACACAGAAGTAAAAATCATCTACAAAATACCAGCAAATTAAGTTTAGCTCATTAAAAGTTTATGTACCATGCTCAAGGGGAGGGGAAGGTGGCTTAACAGTCTAGTCATGCTCTGTGGCATAGGCATACTACATACTACTTCATTTGAAGAGGATCAACTCATAGCTCTGTAGATGGAGAAAGAGTATTTAGCCAAGTTCAACATCTTTTTGGAATAAAGACCCAGGGAGCTAAGTGTAGTAGGCACGTGCAACTCAACACAACAAAGGTCATTTTTGCTAAACCCACAGTAACATAATGATAAAACAAAATACATAAAGTTTTTCCTCTAATAATCAAGATAATTTTTTTTTGACAAGGTCTTTCTATGTCCTGGAGCTCACAATGTAGACCAGGCTAACCTTGAATTTACAGAGCTCCTCCTGCCTCTGCCTCCTCATATACTGGGATTAAAGGTGTATGCCACCATGCCTGACAAGACAAAAACTGCATTCTTTTACCATGTCTTGTCAATGTGAGCCTGACATTCCTACCCAGAACAATTACATCAGGAAAAATAAAAGGCATAGAAATTAGAAAACAAAAAGGTAGGATGATCTGTTTGTGGCATATATATGAAACTCTAAAGATAATATAAAAATAGCCTGCCAGAATTAATAGATTAATTCAGTAAACTTGTAGGGTCCAAAATCAAAATATTGAAATCAGTACATTGTACGTCAACAATAGACTTTCTGCAAAAGAAATCAAGACAACCAGGCCAACAAGATGGCTCTTTGGGTCAAGGCGATTGCTGCCAAACCCAACCACAACCTTAGTTCAAACCCCTGGACCCCATATTGTAGCAGAAGAGAACCAACTCCCAAAAGTTGTTCTCTGACCTTACATACCAAGGCACACTTGAAATCTTGTGTGTGTGTGTGTGTGTGTGTGTGTGTGTGTGTGTGTGTGTGTTAAAAAACAGCCAAAGAAGACAGCTCCATTTACAGTATCGCCTTTTAAGAGTATTCAGGAGTAAATTAAAGCAGTTAAAAAAATGTATGCAGTGAACACTGGAAAGCACTGATGAAAGAAAACAGAATAAACAAGTGAGGATTTTCCTCGTGTTTGTAGATTTGAAAATTATTATTTAAACATCAGAACCATGCAATGTGGCCTATAGACTCAAGAAAGTCATTGAAATCCTAATGAAAAAAAAAAAAAACAGTTTTTATAAGCATTATACAACAGACAAAAAAATTAACTAAAAATGGACTAAAGATTTAATTGTCTTTTGGGCAATTTAAAAAAAAATGTTAGATACCTAACTCACAGAAAAAATAAAGGGGGGGGGCAGGTGCTAGTTAGGAAACCAATTTGAAGCTCCACACGATAGAGAAAAGTACAAAGACCTCATAGGAAATTAGAGAAAACGCATATAAGCCGTATACCTGATGAGGAGTTAGCATCCTAAACGCATAAGGAACTCAATAGCAGCAACAAAAACAATTGAAAAAATGAAATGAAATCACTTTATTCTAATTAGCTCACTGACTAAGACATCACACAGCATGTTTAAGGAAGACATTCAAACAGGAGCCAGGTCCCAAACCCTATCCATCCCGGTGAACTTCTACGTAGTGAGAAAGACCATGGTAAAATCCTCCAGCTTTGCCAGGGTTTTTTACACTGTCGCTGTTACGTACATATTTATGTATTTACACACACACACAGAGCTATAACAGATTACAGACTAGAAAAACAATTGTCTTTATAACCTCTTTCATGAATCAAGTGTCCTTTGCTTGCCTTTAATTTAACCCTTTCTCATCACCCGCTATATACTTTCTTAATATTACATTATAATTGCACTTATATCTGTATATATGTGTGAGTATATGCATATATGCAAAATTAATTAATATATGTTACACACACACACATATACATTATAGGCTGAGACCTATATATGGCAACCAAAGTGTTTTGTTTTGCACACCCATGTATACATTATAGGCTGGGATCTATATATGGCAACCAAAATGTTTTGGTTTTCCCTGAGTTTTGGTCACTAACTTTATATTTTCCAAATCCATCCATTTCCCTGCAAATTTTGCGATTTCAGTTTTTCTTCACAACTCAGTAATAGTCCATTCCTCTCCCCCCACCCAAGGAATTTTAAGATAACAAAGGACTATAATAGCTTTTTATCAGCAGGCACCATCAGGTACGTGAAAGCATCCTCAGTGATAATAATCATGGGGGAAAGGCAAACTAAAACCACCACAAGCTGTTACCTCATACCTTCTAGAATGGCTGTTTAAAAAAAAAAAAAAAAAAACCAATGTATGGGCATGGATTTAGAGAGCAGAGAAGTCTTGTTACAGAGATGTAAATAAATATAACCATTATAGAAAACAATATGGATGTTCACAAGTATATATCAAAACATACCATTGCATGGCACAAATATATGCAGTCGTTACCTACCGATTCTTACCTACCTTCAAAGACAAGAAGTCAAACCATTTTAAATGTGCAGCTACTAATGTAAAATAATGGTAATAAACCCATCACAAGATAGGGATAATACTTTAAGTGAAAAAGACTTTTTAAAACAAAAGATTACCTGGTGGTATCACTTTACACCTCTTCGAATCTCTTCAGATCTCTTCAGCGCCAGACTTGATAGGGAACAGCTGAATTCTCCTCTGCTGGAGCCTTCTGCCTGTTACGGCGTCACAGGTCACACTGCCTCAGGAAAAGGTCACTGTACACTTGGAAGCAACAACCATTGTAAGCAATGAAGACAACACCATGTGTGTATGTGCATGATACATGTTCAAGAGTACATGTATGTGCAGGTAAATACTAGGGACCATTGTCTGTTTTCTTCCTGAATCACTTTCCAGTTTATGTTTTGAGACAAGGTTCTCTCACTGAACCTGAAACTCACCAATTAGGCTACACGGGCTGGCCAGCAAGCCACAGGGATTGTTCTGTCTCCCCAGCACTGGGATTACAAATGGGTGACCAGCTTTTTATTCTGTTGGTGCTGGGGTTTGAAGTTAGGTCTTCATACTTACAGGAGCTCTACCAACTGAGTCATTTTCCCAGCCCAAATGGAAATATTTTTCACTGATGTGGTCCCATAAGTTTGTGAGTTCATACTCTGAGCTAAAATCTATTTTAGTATAAATTTGGAATGATAGAGATGTTTTATAATAATGTTTAAGACACGTTAAGGACAGAGATATTTAATGACAATGGATACATTCTTTTCAGTTTTAAGTAGAGTGTTTTATATATGTCTCCCTCATAGGTGAATATTATATGGATACTGTATGGTTTCAAGAATGTTGAAAGTAGGGGCTAGATAGATGTGGCTCAGAGGTTAAGGGCATTTGTTGCTATTGTAGAGGACACAGGTTTAGATCCCAGCACCTACATGGAAGCTCACAACCATCTCTAATTCCAGTTTGAGGGGGAATATAATGCCCTTTTCTAGCTTCCTCAGATGCAAATGCATGCATGTATGATGTAAATACATACACAAAGGCAAAACATATATATATATGTATATATATGTTCTAAATCTAAAAACCAGAATTTTAAAAAGCAACCAACTGCTTTCATTAACAAAAGAAGAAATTATTATAATATTCTAATAGGTGGAGAAAAGTAGAAATGTAATGGTAGTAAAGAGCTGTTTGAGCTGTTTGACATACTGGCTAAGAATTCTGCAGTGTAGAAGAAAGGACATCCCCACCCCCACCCCCAACTGATCACTGATATTTGAATTCTAAAGGCTGCGGAAGAAAACCAGCAACCTTAGAAAGAAACATTATACCTGACTTGTCTTTGATATTTGGCAATGAAGGAATAATATTGTCAGGACAAAGAGAAAACATAGAAGCAGAATCTTTAAACCCTTACCTGGCTATGCTGTTACTCAAAAATATCTTTTAAAGGTGTTTCAATGAGGGGAGTGGGGAATGAACCTGGAAGGAAGGAGGGAGACTTGAGAATGAATGACGTGGCAATATATCGGTCCATATGATTAATATTTTCCACTATAAAATGGATTTGGGAGTGACTGGGGGTTAAAGTGTATAATTAGTTGGGTGTCGTGGTGCATGCATTATATCCCAGTGCTCAGGAGGTAGAGAGGAGCAGATTGAAGTCTGTGAGTTCAAGGCCAGCCTGGTCTACATAGGGAGTTCCAGGACAACCAAGGCTATGAAGTGAGACCCTGTCTCAAAACAAAACAAAAAGCCAAACTTCAATGAACAAACATGCAAGCAAAAGGTGTAACTACCACTTATGGTAGAAGTGAGAAATTCAATGCATTGCTAAGGTGTGCCAGAATTTCTGCTTTAGTACATTTAGTATTTTTTTTTAATGCTTGTGTATAAATTAAGAATTTAAAAGAATTAACAGAAATTGGATGGAAGAATGGAACAAATCAACAAAGGAAATAAAGAACAGTAAGGAAAACTCAACCAGTTCAATAGAAAGTCTGGGAAGGAGAAAATGGAAAATAAAAGGCATATTAAATAAATATGCCAGTAATTACAAGTGTAAACAGATCCATTCCCTTGTATCACTTAACAGAAGGACTCTGGACTTGTTCACACCTAACAATGTGACTTTGAACTACTTAAAGCAAAACCTTCAAGAAGCAATGGATAAAAGGATAGGGTACCAGTTTGTATTAATTGGAACTATTTAGAATAGATAGATAGATAGATAGATAGATAGATAGATAGATAGATAGATAGATAGATAAAGCAGACAAAATATAACCAAAAAATAGTGGTGATATAAATACAGTTAAGAAGCTAAACCTTATGAACATCAATAGAAATTAATGCTTAGCAATTAGAGAATGCATTTTCTTGTCTAACACCACAAACAATTCAAATCAATCATACCTTAAACTAAAGGAAGCCTTAAGAAATGACAAATCCCACAGACTAGTTCTATTTGACTGCAATGCAGCAGATCTTTAAAAATCTACATTCAAAAGGCATTTCTTTTTTACATAGAATTCAGAATGGTAAACGCATTCCTTTATGCCACTAATGGAAACAAAGTGCAGATCTGAACCACGATGAGGTATGTGGGATCCGGTTCAAGTGGCACTTGGAGGAGAATTTATAGCCTTCGATACATATGTTAAAAATTAGGAGAGAATAAAAATAAATGAGATAAATATGCAACTCAAGAAGCTAGGAAAAGGAGCTCAAATAACCAGGAAAGAAATCAAGAGCAAATTAAACAGCAAAGGAGAAAGAATGTCGTCCATAGAATCAAAAGCCTCTTTTAGAAAAAAATGAAGACACACACACACACACACAAATCCAACCAAGAACTGTATCAATAAGAAATATAATCCCATTGGAAAAAAGATTATAAAGTGTAATCTAAAGTATTTTATAAGGCTTGTATAACTTTGATACCAAAACCAGACAAGGACAGTATAATAATAATAATAATAATAATAATAATAATAATAATAATAGTGTGACCTGAGATGCTAAAATGATATCCAGCTGCATGTGCATATAAACCAGATCCTCATAGGCATGGTTAAGTAGGGCTTAGGAATGAAAACACATTTTAACCTCAGAAACTGTTGGCATTCACATCCTTAGTAGATAGGAAATCATCAAATCCCAACAAATATAGAGAAGCCATAAAATTAAACTCACGAATGGTATAATTTTTTTTTAAGCTAGGAATTTTATAACCTCCAATAAAGGGTCTCTGCCAAAATGTCCACAGTGGCCATTTGTATTTGATGGCAAAGATAAGACTGTCCTTTCTTTCTAGTCTGGAATCAGAGTTATTTCATCTCACCACAGAAATACGATTGTTAATGAGTTTCAAACAAACAAACTAAAAAAAAAAAAAAACCCAGTCATTAATGAACATCTCTGGGAAATCTATAGAAAGACAATCAGGTAACAACAACAACAAAAACCCTTCAGCCGCTTCACCGGTTCTCACACTAACACACAGCCAGCAACGGCCAATACTCCCTTCAAACACTGTCTAAAGCAAGCAGGTCAGTTCATGAGAAAAAATCATATAAACCCAAACTGAGAAATGTTCTAAACAATATTTCCCTTTGTACAACCCAAACAGCCAAGTTTATGGAAAAAGAGGAATGCTAAGAAACTCTGAGGGTCTGAATTTAAGAGTGTCTGTGTGTGTGTGTGTGTGTGTGTGTGTGTGTGTGTGTGTGTGTGGTGTTGTGGAGTCCTGTTTGCTTGTGTGTGTGTGGTGTTGGGGGCCTGTGTGTATGTGTGTGTGTGTGTGTGTGTGTGTGTGGTGTTAGGGGTCATGTGTGTTGGGGGGTTTTGTCTGTGTGTGTGTGTGTGTGTGGTGTTGTGGAGTCCTGTTTGTTTGTGTGTGTGTGGTGTTGGGGCCCTGTGTGTGTGTGTGTGTGTGTGTGTGTGTGTGTGTGGTGTTGGGGGTCCTGTGTGTGTGTGTGTCTATGTGTGTGTGTGTCTAGTGTTGTAGAGTCCTGTTTGCTTGTATGTGTGTGGTGTTGGGGGTCCTGTGTGTGTGTGTGTGTGTGTGTGTGTTTGGTGTTGGGGGGTCCTGTGTGTGTTTATGGTTTTGGGGTTCTGTGTGTGTGTGTGTGTGTGTGTGGTGTTGGGGGTCCTGTTTGCTTATGTGTGTGTGGTGTTGGGGGTCCTGTGTGTGTGTGTGTGTGTGTGTGTGGTGTTGGGGGTCCTGTTTGCTTATGTGTGTGTGTGCTGTTGGGGGTTCTGTTTGTGTGTGTCTGTGGTGTTGGGGGTCCTGTTTGCTTGTGTGTGTGTGTGTGTGTGTGTGTGTGGTGTTGGGGGTCCTGTGTGTGTGTGTGTGTGTGTGTGTGTGTGTGTGTGGTGTTGGGGGTTCTTTGTGTGTATGTCTGTGTGTGTGTGTTTCTGGTGTTGTAGAGTCCTGTTTGCTTGTGTGTGTGTGGTATTAGGGGTCGTGTGTGTGTGGTGTTGGGGGTCCTGTGTGTCTGTGGTGTTAGGGGTCGTGTGTGTTTGGTGTTGGGGGGTCCTGTGTGTGTTTATGGTTTTGGGGTTCTGTGTGTGTGTGTGTGTGTGTGTGTGGTGTTGGGGGTCCTGTTTGCTTATGTGTGTGTGGTGTTGGGGGTCCTGTGTGTGTGTGTGTGTGTGTGTGTGTGTGGTGTTGGGGGTCCTGTTTGCTTATGTGTGTGTGTGCTGTTGGGGGTTCTGTTTGTGTGTGTCTGTGGTGTTGGGGGTCCTGTTTGCTTGTGTGTGTGTGTGTGTGTGTGTGTGGTGTTGGGGGTCCTGTGTGTGTGTGTGTGTGTGTGTGTGTGTGTGTGGTGTTGGGGGTTCTTTGTGTGTATGTCTGTGTGTGTGTGTTTCTGGTGTTGTAGAGTCCTGTTTGCTTGTGTGTGTGTGGTATTAGGGGTCGTGTGTGTGTGTGGTGTTGGGGGTCCTGTGTGTCTGTGGTGTTAGGGGTCGTGTGTGTTTGGTGTTGGGGGGTCCTGTGTGTGTTTATGGTTTTGGGGTTCTGTGTGTGTGTGTGTGTGTGTGTGTGGTGTTGGGGGTCCTGTTTGCTTATGTGTGTGTGTGCTGTTGGGGGTTCTGTTTGTGTGTGTCTGTGGTATTGGGGGTCCTGTTTGCTTGTGTGTGTGTGTATGTGTGTGTGTGTGTGTGTGTGTGTGTGTGGTGTTGGGGGTTCTGTTTGTGTGTGTGTGTATGGTGTTGGGGATCCTGTGTGTGCATGTGTGTGTGTGTGTGTGTGCGTGTGTGTGTGGTATTGGATGTCTTGTTTGTGATGCAGACAGTAATAAAAAGATGGGTAAAATCCAAACGTAATCTATATTCTCAAATTTTGTGCTAGTATTGATTTCTTTTTGACGGCATCCTGTGCCAAGGTTCTGCGACGATGTTTTCATGCAGGAAAAATTGCAACAGGAATCTTTGCATTATCTTGACAATTTTTACAAATCTGAAATTATTGTTTTTTATTATTTTTACAAAATAACCAAGTATAAAAGACCCACAATAATGAAGAGGAAAAATACCTCCTAAAGGCAAACAGGACCTTTAAAGCAAAAGAAATAAATTAATTAATTAATTTAAAAATACCTATTACATGATCTTGTTCATATCTGTAGGATATGAACAAACGGCAGCACAGACCATGGTCAGAGATGAAGGCATTTGATAGCGGGACATTTGCCTCCTTATCTAAATTACTCTTTAGCCTTAACAAAACATGAATACAAATCTCAGGAGGCTATTTCATCAAACTCGACAAGCCCATTTGAAAATTCATTTGGAAGCAACAAGGTGAGGAACATTCGGGAGTATTTAGAAAACCAAAGGGTGGAGCGGCCCCTTCAGAAGTCAAGGCACCACAAATCAGTATTAATGAATATGGTGTGTTCATACACAGAGGTAGGCAAATAGACCAATGGAGCAGACCAGAAGGTTCAGAAAGACACATGCCTTCCTGCTATAAAAGCACATAGTGTGTGTGTGTGTGTGTGTGTGTGTGTGTGTGTGTGTGTGTGTCTGTGTGTGACATCCCTAGAAATACAAAAATACAAAAATCAAATGTCCTAAAACCCAATATTTATTAGAATATTAGACTCTCTAATAATTTCCTTAAGGACAGTTTTCTTCAGGTATAAAAAAACTAAGGAAAAGATAATTGGATTTTATAGTACTAATATCTGACGCTGTTTCAAGAGCCAGAGGTACCGCGGCTCTTTGCATTCTGGTGGTGGTGGTAGTTAGTATGGGGTTAGAAGGTAACTCAAACTCGGGAAAAGGGGGGGAAAAAAACCTTTCATTTGCTTTAAAAGATCCTTCTGTGTGCCTTCCAAAATCAGACCAGTGCAGTGTGGGGAGGGTCTGAGGAAACTCACTAGAAAAACTGGGTGGGACTCCATGGGACAAATCTGGGGTGTATTTTGGATATAGTCGGTGGGATAACCTGAAAGAAATAAAAGATTGTGAGATTTTTGCCTTGTTTTTAGAGATGAGGAAAAAGAAAAAAAGAAATTGATGTTTGATCCTGGGGATTGAACCCGATGTCTCATGCATGCTAGGCAAACACTGTAACAAATGAACTGCGTCAGTCCCTACCCCCTTAACATGTTGCTTTAGGTGCTTTCGAGTTGCCTGTAAAATGCATGAACAAAACATCTGCCTTTCATGTGGATTGTTGAATATACGGGATTGGGAGGGTATGGAGAGTTTTGTGGCATAGGATTAAAATTTGTGATCTATTGATGTATGACTAGGCATTTAAACCTTGTGACTAGGTTAGGAAATACGTGGCTACCTAGGGAGAGGTTGTGTAAGAATGGTGGCCATTTTCTCAGGTATTTAGAGGTTGAGTAAGGAAAGGTGGGCTATGATGGGGAAGAGGCCAAGGTGATAGAGGACCATGCAGTGTCCCCCACAAAAAAAGAGACAAAAGGGTGGTTTGTTGTTACTGTTGCATTTTAGATGTTAAATGATTAAGCATGACAAGAATTGGTAAAATTGCCATACAATTTCAGGCACGTCAAAAGCAAGTCTTCATGGCACGTATGTTAGCTAAAGACCTGCAGTGAGGCTGTGGAGTTGGTGAAAGATTATGGAGGGATAGTGAGCTTGAGGAAAGGGGGTCCTTTCTCTGCGGGAGCTCTTACAGCCTACAGAATCCTCAAGGGAACCGATGACCCGTGACCCAGAGATAAACTGGTTTTGCAGATAGAGAGGATGGAGTCCATCGGTTAAAATACACCCCCCACCCAGAAAACTTTAACAAGACATTAGGATTCCTTGGGGGCTCCAAAACCGATCTTGGTGGAGATCTAAGCATGGACATCGTTTAACAGCTCTCCTGTTGAGCAGAATGAATAGTCAGATTAAAAGATTTAAACACAATATGGTGTTCACCTTCACTGCAGGCGTTTGCATAGGAAGGGACAGTATTTTCATTCAGACGTTATGCGTATAAGAAGACTCTGTGAGGCGAGAAAGCCTATCTAAGGTGCAGGGATTTAAAACTGCGTAGCCTTTGCACAATCTCAGCACTTTTCTATCTAGCAAGCAACCACGAATAGCTATTTAATCATAAATATAAAATGGAATTCGAGGTATCAGATTTGCTGTACTCCTAGGTAAAAAATGTTTTTTAATCCACGGACCACCGTCTTGCGTGTCCTCCCCCCCCCCTTTAAAATGAAAATACTGCATTTTATGTGCCCAATAAAAATATACGATCTGAAGTTTTAGCGGCCACACAAAAATACGATTGTGCGTATTTACTGGAATTCAATTCTGTCCTGCAGAGTACGTTTTTAGTTACAAAAAAAAAAAAAAAAGGACCCTCCGTAAATACCCCCGAAATTAGTGTTTCGCACACCTGTGCTTATTTCCTTTACTTAAATCCCTTTGCCGTAAAATGGTTTCATCAATAGTACATTAACAAACTTTTAATAATTCATTGATTTTTTTACTGCCAGGGAAGAAATACCGTCTATCTGCCAAAGAAATTCATGGTCTCAGAGAATAAAGCCAAAATCATCTTTCCATAGTCTGTCCTCCCCTCCCCCATTTCTTTTCCTAGAGGTAAACCAGTTAAAATTTTCTTGTACATCGTTCCAGAACCTTCGCCCACATTTCTATTTTATTTTTAACAAAGAAACAAGTGACTGGGGGGAAAAAGAGAAAACCAAACTTACCACTCCCGTGTCTACGGTCTTCAGCAACGTGTTTTATTTCACTGAATCTATTACGATCTTGGTCCTTTATGGCAGCGATGCCTCCGCTATTTTTCCCGGAGACGCAGGAATCTCTTCTATCAGAGGCGGGCTTGGTAATGTGCGCGCTCACTCCCCTCGCAATTTTTCGCTATTCTACGCAGTAGATTCGTGCAAGGGTGGGTGAGAGCGCGCGCGATTCAGCGCAGTGGCAAAAACCGCCTTCACCCGGTCTCGCAGGTTGGCAGCTCTCTGTGCCGAGTCAAATCATGATTCTTCCAGCCATTAGTATTGTCCTGTGACTTGCGTTCTCTTTTGCCCCCCCCCTTTTTTTTTTTTTTTTTTTTTTTTTTTTTTTGATTTGCCTTTGTCCCTTGTTGGTTTCCAATAGGTCTTCGTTTATTAAGGAAATTAGCCTAGTGCTTGGGTGTTGCAGGCAGAAAACTCCTTTCTTCCACCTTTATCGTTCGTGGTTAGACCTCTACGTATTTGTTTTTGCCTCGATTTTTCCTGGCTTTTTTTTTCCTCCTTTTTCCCGTTTTTAGACAAATATATGCTTGTCCTTTTCCCCCTTTTCTTCTTAGATTTTGCGTTGGGGCATCATTAGTAGGTATTTCTCTTTCACCTCGATTTCTTTTGGGGGGGCTGCAACCCTTCACACCCACATCCCATCCCCCTTTTCCAGACCCTGCTTGGGGGCCCCTACCACTGACTCCGTTGACGTCAACCCCGTGCCTTGGCGCCAAGCTGTTGCCTTGACAACCGCAGTCGGATTGGCAGGGTGTGGGAGGCGTGGCGAGGGCCCGAGGCGGGCACCAGGGGCTCGGATTGGTCAGAGGAGAAGCTCCGCCTCTGCAGTGGACCCTGACAAGGAGGTGTCCCGCAGCCCTTGCTGCAGACGCTGGGGAGTCAAGAGTCGCGGGAGGACGAGCATCGGAGGAGAAGCAGAGAGATGTCCACCCTGGGCTGGTGGCGCCGCTGGGCGCCCGGTTCAGTGTGGGCGCACTAGACGGCCGACCTCGGTCGGGCTGTGTGCGCAGAGTGCGGTGCACCGGGAAGGTGAGTCAGCCAGCTACCTGGCTGCCCAGTGGCATGCACCCTCTTGGATACCGTCTGCAGAGTTCAGACGGTGTTCGGGGCGCGTTGCTGCGGGCCAGGAGCGGCAAAATCATGTCACAATTCACCACGGGTGGTTGACAAGGCTGCAAACTGCGCCTTCGGAAAGGTGGTTCGCCATAGCGCGGCCGTGTTGCCGCAGGGATATCAATATACATGGCTGGGATACCCCTTGTATCGAGGACTCAGAGCCTCGGAGTCCCGGGATCTTAGGACCGTAGGGTTTTAAGGGCGAACCACCCCAAATACTGGCAGAATCTAGGCTCCCTGTCTCGTATGCACGGCTGACAGCTAACAGCCGTGCAGACGATGCGCAAGTCCCGTCAGGAGACCCCCCAGGTGGACATCGGAGTGCGGCCCCTAGCCACCTCCTCCCGTGGGTTTCATATGCTTTGCTTAGCAGAGTCTAGGGGCTATGCGGTTAACGCGGTTAACCCGGTTAACCCTATCTCCCGGGTATCTGGATAGCGGGGTCTTTGCAATGTAGCCATCCACCGCTATGCGCTGCACTACCCTTGGGGGCGGGTCTTGTTTTGCCGCAGTGGCCGTGGGCGGGGCCAGGAGCAGCGTAGGGGCGGGGCCAGAGCCGAGGCTGCCAGAGCGACTTTTGGGGCTCCACCCAGCTGGCGCCATCTTGGAGGGTGGAGAGAGGGTTGCCGCGCAGGCTTATTCTGATTGGCTCCCTGCGGCAGGGGCGGGGCTAAGGGAGAGCGACAAGGGCCAAGGCGGACTCTGCAGGCCCAGCCCACCCGGCGCCATCTTGGATGGGCAGCCGACGTGCAGCGCGCAGGCGCGGCTCTGACTTGTTGCCGAAAGAGATCCAAAGGCCGGGAGTGGTTTTGAGACCTCAGGGGTGCTAATGTCCACACCTCCCGTGCTGTCGGGCAGCGAAGGAGCACCCTGACTCTGTCTTTGTGTCTGACTGACTCGGAGGGTAGTCTAGACCCTCCGGGAGCCACGGCCACTAGTTTGCCACGCAAATGCTGCCACCTCGCGGCAGGCTGAAGCACTCTTCCCGTTTTCCCGGGGCTAGTCGTCATCGTCTGATGACGGGGCGGGGCGGCTGTCCTGCAGTCACGTAACTGCGCAGGCGCCATCTTGAATGGCAGCCCACCTGGCTGCAGTGGGCGGGCTCTAGGGAGGGAGGGGCTATTGGGCCTCGCAGCCCCGCCCGCCCCGGCGCCATTTTGTGGGCCGCAAGGGCGGAGCTTGTATCTTGAGTGACAGCTGGACGGGCTTGCCGCAAAGAGGCGGGCTGGAGGGAGGGGCTTCCTGGTCCTGAGTCACCGCAGGGCCCCGCCTACCCTGGCGCCATCTTGCTGGCTGCCGGTGGAGAAGGGGGTGTGGCTGGGAGGAGTTACGGAGGGGGACAGCTGACGTTAGGCGGGCACAGTCTTGAGTGACAGCCGCTGCGGGAGGGAGGTGCTAGGGGCGCCTGGGGGAGGGGCTTTCGTTCTGATTGATGTGTCCACGTAGCTGTATGGGCGTGGGTAGCTCTCTAAGGGTGTCGCCTTGAGTGACAGCTGGACTTGGCTTGCCGCAAGAGGCGGGGCCAGGGGAGCCCCTCCCCCTGGGCGCCATCTTTGCCGGCAGGCCGCGGATGGATACGGTGCAGACGCCATCTTGGCATGGCAGAAGGGCTGGCTGTGGGGGGGAAGAGGGGGTGGGCCTAAGGGCGGAGCCTGCCTGCCATGATTGATTGGCTCCCAGAGGATGACGTCATCCGCCCGGCATAGATGGGACGGCTGAAGTTATGTTGAGTGACAGCTGGCCTGGCTGGCTGTGAGATGCAGGGTAGACGGGGGAGGGTGTGTGGTCCTGAGCGAGCGACCACCGAGCCCACTCACCTTGGCGCCATCTTTACGGGTCGTGAGGGAGCGGCTGACGTTTATGGCACAGGCGCCATCTTGCACGCCGGCTAATCCGGCTGCAAGGGGCAAGCCGCAGGGAGGGAGGGGTTGTCCTTCGTGTGATGGCGCAACCACTGCTGGCTACGGGGCGGTGTCTGAAGCTCTCGATGAGGGTGTCACCTTGAGTGACAGCCAGACTGGCCCGCTTCAAAAAGCAAGGCCAGAGGGGCGTGGTCTCCTGCATCCAGCGTGACCACGGAGCTCCGCCCACCCGGACGCCATCTTTGCTGACGTTCGCGGTGCAGTAGCCATCTTGAGTGACAGCTGGGTTTGCCGCAGAAGGAGGCGGGGCTCTGACCCGGACTGCAGAGTCCAGCCCACCTGGGCGCCATCTTTATTTCCCATGGCTGGCGGCTGACTAATATTCTTTGCGCTGCTATAACCTTGAGCGGCCACTAGATGGGGGCCCAGAGGAAGGCACCACATTTTGATGGCGCATTGATGGCGCTTGAGCCATCTTGAATGGCAGCTGGGTTGGCTGCAGGGGGCAGGTCCAAGGGAGGGGCTTCCTCTTCTTGAGTGACTGGGCCACAGAAGTCCGCCCACCCTGGCGCCATCTTAGTTGGTCGCAAGGGGGCGTATGATTGCTCACTCTGCAGGTGTCGTTTTGAATGACATCTGGGTTTGCTGCAGGAGGTGGGCCAGGGGGCGGGGCGTCCTGGCTCCATGCTCGTTGGCCACAAGGGGGCATCAGGCTTTTCCCGCTATGCAGGTATCATCTTGAGGGAGGGATTCTATTCCTGACTGACGTAATCCTCACAGCCTCACCTACCCTCCCTGACTCCATCTTTGCTAGCCACAAGGGGGAGTCTGACATGCAATACGCATGTGCCACCTGTAGGTAGCAGGTTTGAGGGAGATGCTACCTTTTAAAAAAAAAAATTAATTCTTATTTTACATATTGATCCCAGTTCCTTTTTATTAGTAACGAGCTACAAGCTCTGTGTTATCTGGTAGGCTAAGGACTGGGACCATAGCTGGTTTCATTTTGGGCACAGCAGAGGGCAGAGGTCACAGTCCCCCATCTTATATCCACACAGGTGACTGCATAGGTATCAAAAGGGGAAAGGGTGAGGTTAGACGTAGTGGGAAAGAGGAGGTTGTTGGGTGGGGGGTGAGAGTGGATGGGGCGGGGGTAGAGTGGGTGGGGTGGGCAGCACCCAGAAGATTAGAGCCAATAGAAGGCTACTTTGGGTGACCTCTCCCAGTAGTTTACTCAGAGATTTTTAAGTCTTTCCTTGACCATTTGCTTTCCTCTAATTTTCACCTGCAACATATCTTGTTGCACTTAGAGGACAGGAATGTCACATGGCTAATTAGTAACCAATTAGGTTCTTGGATTGGTTCCTCAATCCAGAATCCCCCTGAAGATGACAAGATACCTCAGGGTTTCTTAAGTGCCCTTGACATAGACAAAGTCTGCAATTGAAACTCGGGGCACAACATGTGTCTTGGGAATAATTGACTACCCGTGACCTTCTATTCTGGGTGGGGTCCTGGACTCATTTGATGTCTGCCTTGTAGGAAAAGAAAACACAAAGCTATTTCAGGTGGCTTCCCACCCAAAGAAGAGTTTAACTGTAAAATAAATTCAGTGTTTCATGTTTCCTTTTTCTTCCACAGCTCTACCTTCTTGATCTTCTATCCTTCTTGGAGACAACTGGCGAGAGGAAGACTGACTAGGTCCTCCAACAGCTAGGCGGCTGGTCCAGGTGAGTCGTACTCACACCTCAGAGCACCACACCCATCCTCTCTTCTTCACACTTTCCTGATGTGCATATGTGCCATACACTATAAGAAGAACACCGTTTGTACTCTCCCAGGAGACGTATACCTATCTGGTGGGTCATGAAGTTGCTAGAACTTCCCCCCTTTTCCCTTAGCCTCACTCCTTCCTTTCCAGTCTCTTATCTCCCTCCCCACCCCACACACACACTTAGGTACTCCTCCCCTCTGGGATAATTTGGGTTCTACTCACCTGCCACCACCCTAGTGTATACTTTGTGCCATGTACTAGGAATGCCGTCTCAACTAGGGAAGGAAGTATTTTCATGGAGTATTAACGGGGGAATTTAAAAAACAAAAATGTATAAAACATGATTGTATGGTTTGTGCCCTTGAAAGTACACATTTGCATGGAGAAATTAATCTGGGAGAGGCCAGATTTAAAGCTGAGCCCTGAAGGATTGTAAATGGTATGTTTCATGGGAGAGACTAGACTGTTCAGAGGGGTCAAAGATGTTCCTCAGGGATGCAGAGAGAGGAGCTGAAAACCCAGGCTGTCCAGAGCAACCGAAGAGGTGATAACAGCCCGGAAAGGTGAGAAAAGGTAAGTTTGAGGGCTTCATAAGAAAGGCCTTGAAAGTCAATGGTAAGTATTTGGGCCTGACCAGAAATGCAATGGGAAGCCACCGAGGTGTCTGAGCCACAGGAGTGACACGAAGATCATGCGTACATTTATTTGTAGGGATCATGTGGTTGCACGGTGCAGAGGGCAGGGTAGCCACACTTGGTTTGGGGAGCACACCTTGAGCTTGGGTGACAGATGGCTTGGCTTGGAGTCCCAATACCAGAAGACAAGCAGGGGGCATGTTGGAGTGGTGCCAAGAAGGGAGACCTCACAGAACTTGCTCCCTTTTTTACTAGTTTGCTGACTGATTCAGACCAGACATGATGAATCACATGATGAGGAGAAGTGAGCAGACTATCCAAAGGTTGTCCATTTGTTCAATCCATCCGCAAGTGTTGATACTCAGCCTATTTGGGACAGAATCATGCCAGACTCTGGCACTCCAGAAGTGAGTGGTATAATCCCTACCGAATGAGAACTCCTATTACCTGGAAAGTAAGGAAATGTGCTTAGCAAAATAGCTGGCTATGCTTTCGGGGGAGCGCTGCCTGGGGAGGGGCTAACATGGCAGAGCGGGCCCCTCTGGAGCCGGGTTGGTGTTTTCCTGGCCCACATGAAGGCCCCCAGGGATCCAGTATGGTGTTCGAGCCTTCGAAGAGCTAGAGATCTTCCTTTACTGAAGGGTCTGTGTGTGTAGGCCCACGTTTTACAAAGCTCAGGGACTCCACTTAAAACTATACCATCATGGGAACTGAAACATAATGCCTCCTCACATCTGCTCCAGAAATTTATGGTGGGATAGGAATGTAGTAACATGGGCCCAAATACTAGAAAGTGTGTGATCAGCAAACTCTCTCCCTGTAGGCAAACCTACATGGGAAATGAAACCATAATGAGGAGGTTGATGGGTGAGTATGCAATCAGAATAGAAGGTGTAGAAGAACCCGATAGCACTGGCCTTTAAGACAGCCTAGTGAAACCACCCGGTCACAGTGATGCCAGTTGCTATGGCAATCAGAAGACCAGATTCCTTATCTATTGCCCCTGTTCTCCGACATCTCCATTCAGGCTAGGTCTGATTAGAGAAGACCTCTTGCCTGTGGATGGTTGGATTAGCCATGTATTGTGACTTAAATTCCCATGCCCCTATCCCCTAAAATAAATAAGATCAGCTGGTCATTCAGATAAGGCCAAACATGTCATGCTGGTCTAGAAGACATTCTGCGTCTTTGAAGTAGCCCTGTCTTAGTGCTGATCATGAAACTTGACCTCTTAGCTATTATTTCCTTTCTTTCTGAACTTTGGGGAAACCCCTCAAGAATGGACAACAATAAGGAGATTTGGCTGCAGTGTGGTAAGTGCTAAGTTTATATTGGGTAGAAGAAGCCCAGGATGTTGTAGCGATGACCAGAAAGAGCCACCAGACCAGAGGGTAGAGGTCATTCATTCCTTGCTCACATTCCCATGTAAGATTACTACTCCCCCCACCCCACCAAAAAAAAAAAAAGAGCAACCGGTTGTCCCATATATACTCCCTTCTTGTTCTTGATTGGACCAGACTAGACACAGGAGCTTAGAGAGGCAAGACAGGAGTCTAGTTTCTAGAGACCAAGCCACAATGCCTATGCCCTAGGGATTCACCCTGAAACTGTCCCACCTTTGTGGTAAGCAGCCCAGGTGACCCTTCAGGTTGTGTGAGTTTGAGACCCACGTCAGATTTTGGGTAAAGGGACACAAAGCTGATGACCCTGTCAGTGTCAGGGCACTTAAACTGAGATGTGAGGTCAGGCCTGGGGCCGGGACAGCACTGGACTCCATGAACATACTGAAGTAGAGACTGCTGGTCTGCAGAAAGAGGCAGGAGACTGGAGCAAACAAGAAGAGAGGAGACGCACACCATGCTGTCCCTGAGAGATGACAAGAGTAACCTCCTCGGTTCCTGACTTTAAAGTTCTCAATTCCAGCCCCCTTTAAATGAGGTAGGTAGAATGAGTTAGTGGGCTGAATGTAGGTGCGCCATGGTGAGGGCAAGAAGTAAGTAAGTAGAAATGGGGCAGGAGGAGATGGGGTAGAGTTTCTCTCTCCTTTGATGGGAATGTGGGAGCCTGAGACCAAAGACTGGAAGGTCACATGATTTCTCTCTTATCACACACAGTCCCAGATGCATTTACCCTGATGTGTGTGTCCCTGCCCATCAGAATGCTCACCCAGGCTTCTCTGGGGGCAAAATGTTCACCCCACTCCCCACTTGAGGCCAAGGATATCTAATGAACTCTATCTTTATTAAACATTATGCTAAATTACATGCACACTCTCCTCTTCTAATTTTAAAGTGAGATAGAAGTAATGCATTATAAAATATAACGCTGATTGGCATCAGTGTTGCCATACAGACCACATGGCAATGCCATCCCCTAATAGGCAGCACCACTGACCTGTGCTTATATATATATCTCCCAGGTCGTAAGAGCAACTTGTTCTCCATAGAAAAGGCTGTTTCATGCCTCTGTGCTTAGGAACTCTTCAAAAGTGGAAAGATAGCCAGCAGCCCTCTCTGCCCAGCATGGGAATGGTGGGCTCGTTACTAGCCCACACCACTTGGCTGCTCTCTTTAGATCCCCTCAGAGTCAGACTAGTAGTATCGGTGGGCCAAACAGGTGCCTCTTGCCAGTATCCAGTTGAGACAGTCAAGAAATGAAAGAAATAGGTTTTCCATGGGGCCAGAATTCAGTCTCGATGTGTAAACAGGATGAAGTAAGATTCCGGTGGGGGAGGGGGGATTCAGTTCTTGGAGCCCCCCCCCCCCTTGAGCACACATTCATAGGGGAAGCAAATGGGAATAGTCACAGGGTGTCACAGGCAGACTTTGGGAGATAAAGGAGTCAGTGAGGAAAGGCACTTTGTCCTGGGGACCCCAGCAGAGCAGTGGGGGAGGGAGGGCTGATAAACCAGAGTAAACTATGTAGAAGAAGAAGAAGAAAAATATAGATTTCTTTCTAATTTTTAAATAGTTATTTTTTTAATTTTTAAACTTTATTATTAAAAATAGATGCGAATTTAAAACATACACACACACACACACACACACACACACACACACACAAAGACTGTGGATTTTGAAATATCACCCTAAATAGAAGTTAGGAAAGTTTATCTTTTTTATTAACCTGTTTTGGTATTTTGGGTTCCTCCATTTCATGACTGGTAGTCATGAATGTTTTCTTCCAGCTTGGTTTATATATACTTCCATACATTTAGATAAACATACAGTTGTAGTTTTCACGTGTAATCAGGTCATTCACCAGCCATTTCAAACTCGAGATCCTTGTGTAAGATTTTGTTTTCTAGGCAGCGTCATCATTTTTATGTACACACAAATCAATATATTTTCAGTAAGGTCAACACACGCATAGATTTTAAAAAGTTTGGTAGGGCTTTCGGAGTGGCTCAGCAGGTCTCATACTGGCTTTGCAAGTAAAGGATGTGGGTCCAGATCTCTAGCACCCATATAAAAGCTAGGTATGGTACCCCATACCTGTACCCAGGGCAGTGAGGGCTGAGAAAGGTGAGTCCCTAGGACTCAGTGGCCAGAGAGTCTTGCCAAAACAAAATGGCCAGATTCAATGAAAGAATGTCTTAAACAATAAAGTGGAGAGTAATAATAGAAGGAGAAACACAAAATCAACCTCTGGCTTCTGTATACATATGTATGAACACATGTACACAGCACACATATATATATGCATGTGTGATAATAATATAAAATTTTAAAAATGAATTAAAATGAAAAGTTTTAGCAATAATGGTAAATTTGATCAGTGGGTGTGGCTTACAGTTTTAGAGTATGTGAATGTGTTGCTATGTTTTACATTTGTAGTTAGGAAATAAAGCTGTGACATTCCTCAAGAGTGTGACTCACTGATTAGGTTATAACATATGAAAAGATTTTTATTCTCACTTCCAGTTATTAGTAAGCCCAGGAGGCATGCTCTCTTCTGGGTACAAAGAGGCAGAGAGACACAGAGACACACACAGAGACAGAGAGACACAGAGACAAAGAGACATACAGTAACAGAGAAAGAGAGAGATAGATGCACACACAGGGAATATGTGTGTGAGAGAGAGACACACAGAGAATCATAGAGTGAGAGTGTGTGTTTTATGCATGTCTTTATTTAGGATATAAGTTTTGTATCTTTCTGTACCTTCTTAAATATTTGCCCATGCTTGTAGGTACTTCGTAAGCATATTTATGGGGATTTATTTATTTTTCTATTAATGGGATTTTCTGTTGCTATATTTATCAGTAAGATTTTTTTTTCCAGTTCGAAATAATACAATGTAATATACAGCGTTATATTTTAAATGCTGTATTTTCTTTCCCTTTAGCTGCATTAGTCAGGGCCTCCAAGATAATGTGGAAGGTGTTTGTGGTAGAGGGAATGCCTTCTTCCCCACTACTAATCTGCTTCTCTGAATTTATTGCGTGCAAGCTCTTTGAAACATGGAATGGTGTATGGGCTCACCCTCTCCCCTTTAATTCATTATCTATAAAGTGTGCCCCTAGAAGAGCACTGTCCCTGGATCGGTAGGATAGCCTTTCATGGACACAGATAATTAATTTTTTAGATTTTGCTAGGCTGCACTTATTAAATATTTTTGCATTTATGGACAAGAAAGATTTGCTATAAAGTACAGCAATAAAAAAGGACAATTGAGCCCCTACCCTGGGGACCTGTGGTAGGGTATACATGTGGGCATTTCAGTATTCTGTTGTGTTCATTCATCTTCAGGTATGTCTCTATATCTCAGATCTGGTACTTAAAAAAAAAAGAATATCTTTTATTCTTTGAATTTTATCTTATCCTCTCCTCGCTTCCTCCCTCCAATTTCTCATGGGACCACAAACTCAGAGTTTTGTATGGACAGCCTCTCTGAGTTATTCTGGGCCAGACTTCCTCAGTCTTAGCCTTTCATTTGATGCTATTAAGCACTGCAGTGTTTTGAGCCTTCAGTGTGTTAGAGACCCCCATTTACTTAGAGTTGCCTTGTCCTTTGAAAGGCAGCATCTTAACCCACTGTTGGATAGACTATATCTTGTCTATCACCAACAACACTTGAATGATGCCATTCTTGGCCCTGTGCCCTTGAATATCTCAGGGGTAACAAAGGCGTGGGGCTGAGGACTCAATATACACACTTCTAATTTTGATGAACTCTGCAGTTCTGCAAGCAGCATGCAAGTGTGCTCATTTCTTTGCAGGCAAGCACACAAACAGGAATGTCATCCAACTTTCCACCATTTTGTTTCTAAGCCCCTCCCTCCCCTTTTTTTAAATTCTCTTCTCTCTCTCTCTCCCTCCCTCCCTTGGGTTGCAGAGGTGGCTTGGTCAGCAAAGTGCTTGCCTCGCAAGCATTAGGACTGAGGGTGATCCCCAGAATCCATATTAAAAATTAAATTCAGGCAGGGTCTAGTAGTGCACATCTTCAATCCCAGCATTGAGGAGGCAGAGGTAGGCAGATCTCTGTGAGTTCAAGATTAGCCTGGTCTACAAAGTGAGTTGCTGGACAGCCAGGGCTGTTATACAGAGACACCCTGTCTCAGAAAAAAATAAATTCAGTTTTGAAGCTGGGTATGGTGACACATACCTTTAGTCTTTGGAAGGCAGGCATATCTCTATGAATTCAAGTTAACTGGTCCACATACTGAGTTCCAGACCCTGTCTCACATAGGAAAAAAAAAAGTTGTTGTGATATCTGTAATCCCAGTATTGGTAAGGTGAAAATAGGTGCATCAGTCTATGTGGTGAGTTCCAGGTCAGTGAGAGATTCTATCTCTCAAAAAGAAAAGATGGTTAAGATGGTTGGTAACTGAGGAACAGCAGAACTAATCATGGAAGGCACCTGAGGAAATGATGTTAATGTCAGCCCCCAAAGGGCCAAGTGTTGGAGCTAACACCACTTAGAAGGTTGTATAACTGTGAAGGAAAAGTCTTGGCCCCCCTTGGGTGAGCTGATGGAAATAATGATGGAGCTGTCCATCAATGTCTAGTTGGGAGCTACCAGCCACTTGTAGCTACTTGGCACCTGAAATGTACTGGTACAAACGGGAGACTGGGTTTACTACCTTTAACCCTGAAACAGCACACATAGTCAATGGTGATGTGGTAGAGCCTCCGAGGCCTAAAGATGTTAACAAAGAGAAAATGTAATCATTTGTAATCACAGTGCTCATACATGTATGGTCATCCATTTCTTTGCAGGTTGTATGTTGTACTGTAACAACTGCCTTAAGGGCAGAACTGGCAGGGCCAGGTCCATCTCTGATGTCATCCCCTTTAACACTTTGGCTAAAAAGGAACACTGACATCCAATCTTAGTCACGGCTGGGGGCCTTGAGAGCGTCCCCTATGCTTTTCATTGGCAAGTGAAACGTGTTAGGGATATTAGCTTATTCCAGATAAGGTATAAAGGACTGTAGGTGCTGCTTCCATTTCACAGATGATAGAGTCCAAGGTACTTGGGTCAATTCTTATTCCGATGCTGATGTGCAGCCTTTGACTTCTGCTACATGCACACCACTCCTTCCAACTTCCAGGTGTATGCATGCCACGTGCTTTCAGTTGACTCTTTCTTGTGTTTGGTTCCTCCAAGTAAGACTTTTTAATTTGAGAAATGCTAACTCCAAATCACTTGTCCACCACCAAACCTGAGACATTCTGTGTGACCTAGGGAGTGGCATGACTAAATAGCTAGATGCCATCCTAAAAGACCCAGCCGATCTGAATTCTTTCAGTAGAGGTCTTGGCACTTATTGTATGTAGAACTTGTTAGGCCTCAGACAACCCTGCTCAGGCTCTAAAAATTCTGCCTCGATTGGTTACAGGCAGACCCTCACGGCAAGAGGAGATCAGCCAGCCAGCCCTGAAAAGCTCAAGCCCTCGGGTGTGAGCAAAGTAGACAACTGTGAAAAACTCACCACTCCACTGGAGAATTACAAGATGTACCACCAGGAAGGTGAGGCACTAGAGGTGGTATTAGTTGGCTTACACAGCATTTACTAGGGTTGTGTCTGAGTACTTCCATGACTGTTCTGGTCTGGACATTCTCTCTTGAGGGGTAAGGAAATAGGATCACCCAATAGATAGAACCACCACTGATCCGGCAGAAGAAAAGCGGACCATCCTCAGGGAGGAAGTCCATTAAGTAGAGAACTTCCCATCACTGTCACGGGGTGCTACCTTAGGAAGTGGCATGTTGGCTGCTTTTGTGTGGGGGTGAAGTAGAGCTGGTCACAGCCATGTTCCCCACCCAGTCTTTAAGTAGCAAGAGTACATACATGCCCTGGAAGGGCTGACGAAGAGGAAAGTTCTGATCACTGAAGCTGCGGGGGAGAGGCAGCTCTAAGTGAGAACACAGGTCAGCAAAAGCATTAAGTTACTGTCTGGTGTCTTCTTAGACGACACCAACAGTGACATGACCAGTGACGACGACATGAGCCGGACTGGGAGAGAAACCCCACCACCTCGATCGTCCCATTCTTTCAGCAGTGAGTACCTCACCAAATGCCTCTGTAAAGATACAGACAGCATCACTCACAGAGCCCAGGAGAGATTCATTGAGGCATTTTTATATTAAAACAGACGCCTACAATGGAATGTCATGCAGGAGATTATTATTTTTTTTTAAACAATAGTATATTTATACTATTTAGTATCTACTTAAAGCTATGCAAGCAGAATTACCCTTAGGGTGGACATGTGTTCCACCTCCTCAGGTTCTTTCCAGTAAGAACGTTGTACAATTTAAAGCCAGCTGGCCCATGCTAGACATACAAGGCCTATGGTCCCCTTTCTGTATGGGGACTGGGCCACTTAGAAGGCGAGAGAAAATTGGGAGGTCTGAAGTAGCGCTGGCTTACAGTCTTAACTCCAGTCCTTGCTGTAAAGCAAGCCCCGCTTGGGAAAAGCTTGTAGGGTAGCTACCAAGCCTGTGAGTCTGGAACTTTCCACGTTGCACCCATCTCCTCGATGGAGGCATGTGTGTACACATGAGGGAAACACATATGTCAGAGCACTTCTGACCACTCAAATGCCTGACCTGCCTAGGTGACCGAGACCAGGAGCGCAGGGGCAGGAGCAGAGAAGTCGAGCCTCGAGACCGCTGGGCATACACCAGGAATCCCAGAAGCAGTAAGTTGTCTGCTGGCCTGCGGCTTAGGGCAGAGGCTATGTGCACAGGGCCTCCCAAGGCCCAAGTGCTCAATTTGGGTTGTATTCCTGTTACTAAAAAGTTTAGTTTGAAGCTCTAGCTTCTGAACTTCTCTCTGCAGAGCCATTTCACACCACTGACTGTTGTTTACTCATTTTCCCTAAGCAGACATGTTTTAAAGAAAACTAGATGTTTACACACACACACACACACACACACACACACACACACACACACAAACTGTATTGCTACAAAACTGAGCAAAATATATAAAGTACCACAGACAAAGATGTGACCATGTAAAGCAAACAGGTTTCCATGACAACAATGCTGCCTGCCATGGCTTCATTGTTGCGGGGAGACACCACATCAAAGTGCCCCGCCGAATTGGAATAGAGTGATAAATGCCACCATGTCAATGCATTGTTGGTGGCCATGCCACCACAGACTATCTCTTGTTCCTCCTGGACTTGAAAGATGCCGCACTTATCACCAGAGCATCCCAAAAGTGTAATCAGGAAGTGAATTTCAATCCCACCACATTCACCAATGGTCGGGGTACCTTTGGCACCCCGCTGGGCTTCACCTCTAGTCTCGGATGAGGAAGCCCAAAAGGGTCAGTGACTGAGAACAGGAATGCACGGAATGCAGGCCTGTGCCTGGACCCACACATCTGTGGCTGGAGTTTGACTCCAAGAGTGGGAAGGAAGGGCGAGGCAGGAATGCCGGGGTGCCGCCAAGCCCTTGCACAGAAAGCTCAGAAAACACGTACATGTTTTGCACACTCACACCCCAGGTAGGTTCTGAGGTTGGCAGGGACACCTGAGCCCTGCCGTGTTGGACTAGGGCTTGCACGCCTCTGATGTCTGTCCTCCTTCTAGGGCTGCCTCAACGGGATCTTTCCCTTCCTGTGATGTCAAGACCCCATTTTGGACTGGAGAGAGATAATGACAGACGTTCCTTGGATTATGAGTCTCGATCTGAGGTATGCTCAGGTTTCCTCTCTTTCCAGAAAAAAAAAAAAAAAAAAAAAAAAAAGCCTATCTTCATTTCACACCAAGGATGCCCATCTTTTCCCTGATGATGCCTTCATCCACCCCTAGATGCCCACTGGTGGCTGGGAGCCCTCAGTCACTCTCAAAGGGAGGCAGGGATCATCCCAACAGGTGACGGGTGGCCAGGTCACCGCTGCCCTACTCTTAATTGGTCTGCATAACCAGAGGAGCACCTGCCCCCGCAGGGTGTGCCACTCAATAGGGCAAGCGGCAGAAGGGCCCCAGCTTTTTACTGGCCCCCAGGGAGTCAGGGGAATGAAAAGCTGTGAGCTTGGAAAGTGGACTGGGAAGGGAGAACAAAGGCTCTGGAGCTGACGAGAATGGGGTGCAAAACCTGGCTGTGTGGGATTGGGCTGCCTAACTCAGCCGGACCTCAGATTCATCGGTAAAAATGGATGTGGCGAGTGTCTCCCAGTTCCATTATGAGGAGTCAGTGCGAGTCACACACCCGTGTGGGACGCGAGTCCCCATTATGTTATCTGGCACGCGGTAGACACACCGTGTTAGCAGTCACAGCCCTCATTGTGGTAGGGCAGTTGGTAAAGGGGGTAAAGAGATGGGGTTTAAGCTGGCTCTGGACTGACAGAGAGGAGGAGAGGAACCTCGGCTTTAACAGGCCTCGGGAGGAAGGGAGGAGCCAGAGGCAGAGGCTTCACTTCCTTTGTAATTAAGCGTCCAAGTCCCTGGGAAACATAGCTGTGGTCAAGACAGACAGGATCCCTGCTCTGAGATGCTGTTGCCAGTAGTGATGTTCACAAAAATGACAGCTCTAGTGTTGACTTGGATCAAAGAAAGATGCCTTCAGGGCAGCAACACTTGACCTGTGAGGGGCTGAGAGGAGGGGGTCAGGCTCAAGGTTAGAGGGGATGCCCACCTTTAGGGAGAGTACGGGCAAAGACTTTGTGATTAGAGTTAAGTGAAAGCCAGGCACCTGGCAAACCAGAGGAGAGCCAGGGGACGACTGGGGCACACGGGGCTGGATTGCTGGTGCCTGAGAGTTGGGCTTTGTCTAGTTCTGCTGCTTATATTCCTTTCCACGGCAATGCTTGAAGAGTTGCTGACCAAGGGCCAGGCCTGTAGAATGCCCAAGTGCAGACGCTGCCGACGCCCGCTTACTCAGAGTAGAAAGGGGGCATGAGATGGTGCAGATCACATTTTGAGGATGTACAGAACAGAAAGCTCTCTCTCTATCTCTTTGATCACATGCAAACCCCTCAATAGTGCATGTGTGTAGCTCGTGTTGTGAAAACATTGCTTTCAGGACACCTCTTCCGCTCCAACTCGTCTGCAGTTGATGGCAAACAAAAAAGCCAGCTACAGCTTTAAGGCCATTTAAATGAACCTATCTTCATACAAAAGCACCATTTTGTTTTATTGAAAGCAGTGTAGTTCGGCCTTTATGCAAATTAGACAGGTAGGTAAATATTAAAACAGACACATCTGCCATCGACCTTGTGCTCTGAGTACCCCAGGGATGGTGACCCTTTATCTTTCACGCTCCCATCCTCTTGACTCCTAGCTCTCTGGCAGCCTTCACTCTGTGGGCTCTGGTCTCCTGTGTCAACACAGGTTCATCTGTGTACCCATTTGCTCCGCCCCCTGTCCCCCCCAGCCCGGGTGTCACAGAGCGCTGACCTCCACGTTACTTGCCATCTGGAAAGAGAAGGGACACTCCACAGAAAGAATGTAGTTAGCTTTCTGGATGACAGTTTGGCAGGTGCTTGCTGAAACCTCTGTAGTGTGGTTTTTGCCCTCCTTTCCACCCTAACCTAGAAATACTTCCATTTCTGAGGCTCTGCTTCATTTTCCTGCCCTGATTTTTGTTGTTTGCTTCTTAATGATGGGACATGGGCAGTTGCATAGATGAAGCTTCTTAAACTATGATGCTTGACTTTTCTTTCTTTTTTTTTTTTTCTTTTTGCTGTATTCCCCATGTTTCTATTAAAATCCCAGCCTCTTTCTAGTCACAGAATAATAATGAATTTAACATCAAGACACTTATGTTTTCTTTGCATAACTTCCCTTAACATTTAAACAACAACCACATTGTGGAACTTGAACCCACAATGTTGCAATATTGCAAGTTCGCACCATTTTACAATGAAGGATCTGAGGCTCTGAAACGTTTCCACATCTAAGGTCGCACAGCTCATAAATGATGCTTTTGACCCTACAGTTCTCTCCAGCTCCAAAGCCTATAGACTCCCTCAGCACCCTCTCCATCTCCCAGTAACCCCCCAGGCCTCAGTGCCATCACTCCTGGCATTGCAGCCCACCAAGACAGTGAAACTCTAGTACTGCCTTCTGGTAATAAGCGAAGGTCTTGGAGAATCCCGCAGAGAAGATTTTCCGGACTATTACAGGGAGTTTTGTATTTCTTTTTGAGAGAAATATCTATTAAAATAAAGGTAGCTCTAAGCTGGGAGCTTGGAATGCGTTGAGTTACTTGGAAACCATACATACTGGAAACTCCACACTGTAGCCATGCTATGCACTAGAGAGACAGGAAGGGAACTTAAAACCACACCGTCTGACCAGATGTCTGCTAGAGCACATTTCTTTCTGTTCCCATGCATGCTGATTATTTAGCCTGCATGGGCTTTCCCAACAGCTCACCACCCCCACCCCACCCCACCCCAGGCCCCTTTACATACTGTAATTTCTTTCACCTACCACTCCAGGCTCCCCTGGAGGCCCTCTGCAAAACCTTTGCTCACTGTTCAGGCTCACCCTGAACTGCCCTTCAAATAAACCCATGTAGCATTTATTATCTGTATCCCAATTTACTGTTTATTGTTCTCTAATTGTTTCATGAGTCTTTTCTCTCCAACCAAATTATAAGCTGCATGAGGGCAAGGAATATGTGTCATGCGTCTTTGGGATCTGCCTCAGAGTGTAGCACAAGGTAGGTACGACGTAGGCCCCTAGTAACACTTGCCTTGGATCGCTCAGAACCCCAAATACCGTGAGCACTTCCTATATAACTTCATATACGTAGCTCCCATGTCGCCAACATTCTCGTTTGGAACATCCATGGGGACAGATTCCATTGAGAGGCCTGTGTTTGGTGTTTTAGGATGCTGAGTCATACCAGAATGTTGTGGACCGCAAAGAGGACAAGAAGCCTCAGAATCCAATTCAGGACAACCTGGAGAACTACAGAAAGCTGCTCTCACTGGGTAAGCACCGACTCCCTTCGGCCATTTTCAGTCTTGTCATTGGAGCCTTTGTTACCTTGCTCATTTCAGCTCGCTTGTGCCCATGCCTAGTATATGTGAACCTTGAGGATAACAAGAAGTCTTTGGTGAACTTGCCCATCTGTGAGATTTGAGTATTATAGAAATCTGTCCAGCTTTGATTGAAGCATGTATTGTATAGACTGGGACAGTTTTTCTATATGATCCCAGGGCCCCATGTGGACTCCTTCAGAAGTCATATAACCTAAACTGGCAGTAGGCAGTTGCAGTGAATACCGGTAAATCTGAGGGGTCTATGGAGTTAGAGAGTAGCTAGAGAAAGGACATCGAGAAGTAGGGGCTATCACAGCACTGTATGCTGAATCTGAGCATCACCAACTGAGGCCAGCCTTGGCTACCTACATAGTGAGACCCTCTAAGAAAGGACAGAGGCTCTCGAAAAAGCGATCAAATGGTAGACGCTACAAGAGGGTACCAAATGCATGCATATAGGGAGTGTTTGTAAGGCTTTCTAGGTGCAAATACATTTAAGAGAGTCGAACTGTAGATTACACCAGATTAGAAAATGAAAGACATTCAAAGATTTGGATATGAGATAGTTCACATTTCCTTACTTCGGGTGGTTGGGGGAAAGGATCAATTTATGGCCACGAGTCTGAGTCTTCAACATAAATTTGAGCCGCCATTCTGTTCTTGTTAACCAGGAGTACAGCTTGCCGAAGACGACCGACACTCTCACATGACACAAGGTCACTCTTCGAGACCCAAGAGAAGTGCCTACCCAAGCACCAGCCGAGGTGAGTGACAAGCCGATGCCACACTCCACGTCCTCCAACACCACACACACACGTACACTGTCCTGAGCTCAGGGACGAGTTACACGCGGGGGTTTCTTTCCAGGTCTGAAACCCATGCCTGAAGCCAAAAAGCCAGCGCACCGACGCGGAATCTGCGAGGATGAATCTTCTCACGGAGTGATAATGGAAAAATTCATCAAGGATGTGTCACGCAGCTCCAAATCCGGAAGAGCCAGGGAGCTGAACGAGCGTCCTCCTCCGAGGTTCCCCAGGCCCAGCGACAACTGGAAGGACAGCTCCTCAACCAAAAGAGAGTCAGTGGCCCAGGAGAGGGCTCCCGAAGGGCCCACGTTCAGGGGGGGTTTCAGGGTCAACACAGAGCTGCTCTCCAGGAGCCGGGCTCTAGAAAGGAAGAGGCGCTACCACTTCGATTCTGATGAGAAGGGTTCAGGCCATGAGCATAAGAGCTGTGTGAGGAAGAAGCCCTTTGAGTGTGGTAGTGAGGTGAGACAGGCTATGAGCATGGGTAGCCTCAACTGCGCGCCCCCCTACTCTGATGCTCAGCCAGCTGATTTGGGGGCAGACCCATACGTGTGTGATGAGTGTGGCAGGACATTCAGTGTCATCTCTGAGTTTGTCGAGCACCAGATCATGCACACCAGGGAGAACCTCTATGAGTACGGAGAATCCTTTATCCACAGTGTAGCTGTCAATGAAGTGCAGAAAGGTCAGGGAGGGAAACGCTTTGAGTGTAAGGAATGCGGGGAAACCTTCAGCAGGAGCGCTGCCCTGGCAGAGCATCGCCAAATCCATGCTAGAGAGTACCTCGCCGAATGCAGAGGTCAGGGTGATGAGGACACCATCATGCCTAGCCCGACCTTCAGTGAGCTGCAGAAGATGTACGGCAAAGACAAGTTCTATGAGTGCAAGGTGTGCAAGGAGACCTTTCTGCACAGCTCCGCCCTGATCGAGCACCAGAAAATCCACGGCAGAGGCAACCCAGGAGATGACAGAGAAAACGAGCGCGAGCGCGAACGCGAGCGCATGCGTGCACGCGCACGGGAGCAGCGGGAACGGGAACGCGAGCGTGAGCGCGAGCGGGAGCGGGAGCTCGGAGAACCCTTTCTGACCTGCCCCAACTTCAATGAGTTTCGGGAAATGTACCGGAAAGACAAGATCTACGAGTGCAGGGTGTGCGGGGAAAGCTTCCTCCACCTCTCCTCCCTGAGGGAGCATCAGAAGATCCACACCAGAGGAAACCCATTTGAAAATAAGAGCAGGGTGTGCGAAGAGACCTTCGTCCCCAGTCAGTCCCTCAAGAGGCGCCAGAAAACTTTCCGGGAGAAGCTGCTCGAGTTTAGCAATGCCAGAAATGCATTGATGGAAAACACAGGCCCCGGTGACCACCAGAAAAATCGTTCTCGAAAGAATTTCTTTGAAGTCAGGGGATTTGAGAAGCCCTTTGCTGAATCTCAGAAGAGTCACACAATAACAAGACCACCTGGAAACAAAGATGACGACAAGCCGTTCACCATCAGCACCAACCCTAATGACAAGCCGAAATTCCCCACCATGGAAAATGGAAGCCAGGGGAAACCTTACCAGAGGTCCGTCATTCACAGCTTGGGCCCTGCAGAAGTTCAGAAGAGTCGTGGGGCGCTCTTCACTAAACCCAAACCACTGGTAGAGTCTAGCACCCAGACCTCGGGTATCTTTAACCACCGCAGAGTCCTGTCTGGACTCTATGAAGGAAAGGAATACAAGGGATCCATCATCCACAGCTTGCCTGCTCCTCGCCCTCTGAAACGTCACAGAACAAATAACCAGATTGGATGCAATGAGGAGGGAGAGTCCTCCATTTTCATCTCAGATCTTAACAATAAACGTCGGAAGATTCCTACCGGAGAAAACACTTACGAAGGAAGTACCAGCAACAGCCACAAAGATCCCATCCTCCCGATTATCCCTCGGGCTGAGCCTCCAAGTCTTTCGGGAGAATCCCGTGATGTCACATTTTCAGTTCCCAGCTCAAGTGTTCGTGAACACCAGAAAGCTCGTGCCAAAAAGAAGTACATTGAGGCCAGGAACAACGAGACCTCTGTAATTCACTCCCTGGGGCCTTTTGGCGACCTGCAAGCAATTCGCCGCAGAGCCAAGATCTTTGAGTGCCAGGAATGTGGGGAGGCCTTTGCTCGTAGGTCTGAGCTCATTGAGCACCAGAAGATTCACGACAGAGAGCGGCCCTCCGGAAGCCGGCATTATGAGCGATCTGTCATCCGCAGCCTGGCCCCTAGCGACCCTCAGACCAGTTATGCCCAAGAACGTTTCATTCAAGAGCAAGTGCGCAAATTCAGAGAGTTTGGTCAGCGCTCTGCTACCAGCAACAGCCTCACTGTACAGAAAATCTATACCCAAGAGAAATATTATGCCGAGGAGCCTCATGCTAAAGAAACTCATGGCCAGAAGATTCATGACAAAGAGCCCAAGGGTAAGGAGCCCCATGGCCAGGAGCCCCATGGCGATGAGCCCCAGGACAAGGAACCCGTTGATCAGGAGATGCACAGTGAAGAGACCCATGGTGATAAGCCCAATGGCCAGGAGCCTCACGGCGATGAGCCCCATGACAACCAACCCATCGATCAGGAGATGCGCAGCGAAGAGCCTCACGGTGACGAGCCCCAAGGTGAGGAGTCCCAAGGCCAGGCGAAAGTCGAAGACATCACCACTCAGGCCTCAAGTCCCGATGAGCACCGGAAAGATGACGTCAGCGACACAATCCACGAATGCCAGGATTGTGGCCTGGGCTTCTCCGACCTCACAGACCTCACCAGCCACCGGGATGTCCACAGCCACAAGTCTCTGGTTGACAGTCGCGAATACGCACACTCGGAGGTTCATGTCCACTCCGTCAGTGAATTTGAGAAAAAATACTCGGGAGAGAAGCTGTACGAATGTCCCAAGTGCGGGGAGTCTTTCATTCACAGCTCGCTGCTTTTCGAGCACCAGCGCATCCACGAACAAGACCAGCAGTCCTCAGCAAAGACCTGTGACGACGGCTTCGTCGCTGTCTTACCCGCGAGGCCAAGGAGGAACCGCGCCACTGAGGTGAATCCCGCCGTGGCTGGCTCAGCCATTCGATGCCGTCAGTGTGGGCAAGGCTTCATTCACAGTTCTGCCCTAAATGAGCACATGCGACAGCACCGTGACGACGAAGCAATGGAGCAGGGCGAGTTGGCAGAGGAGATCTTCATTCAGGGCCTGGCCCTCACCGAGTACCAGGGAAGCGAGACCGAGGAGAAGCTCTTCGAGTGCACCATCTGCGGGGAATGCTTCTTCACTGCCAAACAGCTCGGGGACCACCACACCAAAGTTCACAAGGATGAGCCCTACGAGTATGGGCCTTCCTACACCCATGCCTCCTTTCTCACCGAGCCTCTCAGGAAGCACATCCCACTGTACGAGTGCAAAGATTGCGGGCAGCCCTTCCTCGACGACACAGTCCTCACCGAGCGCATGGTGTTTCACCCAGAGCGAGAGGGGGGATCAGACATAGTAGCCGCCACCGCCCAAGAGGTCGAAGCCAATGTCCTCATTCCACAAGAAGTACTGAGGATCCAGGGGTCGAATGCAGAAGCTGCTGAGCCCGAGGTGGAGGCCGCGGAGCCCGAGGTGGAGGCCGCGGAGCCGGAGGTGGAGGCCGCGGAGCCTAACGGAGAGGCCGAGGGACCAGATGGAGAAGCCGCTGAGCCAGACGGAGAAGCTGAGCAGCCCAATGGAGAGGCGGAGCAGCCAAACGGCGATGCCGATGAGCCCGACGGAGCCGGGATCGAAGACCCCGAAGAGAGAGCCGACGAGCCCGAGGAAGAAGTTGAAGAGCCAGAGGGAGACGCGGATGAGCCGGATGGTGCAGACATCGAAGACCCAGAAGAGGAAGGGGAAGACCAGGAGATTGAGGTCGAAGAACCATACTACCACTGCCACGAGTGCACAGAGACCTTCGCTTCCAGTGCAGCGTTTGGCGAACACCTGAAAAGCCACGCCAGCGTGATCATCTTCGAGCCAGCCAACCCTCTCGGAGAGTCCTCCGGCTACATTGAACGTGCCAGCACCAGCGCAGGCGGCGCCGAGCAGGCCGATGACAAGTACTTCAAATGCGACGTGTGCGGGCAGCTCTTCCACGACCGCCTCTCCCTTGCCAGACACCAGAATTCTCACACTGGCTGAGAATCCAGGCCAAGGAAAAACAACAAAACAAAAACAGGACAAAAACCAAACCTTCCTCCCAGAACCAGACCCTTAATAAATCACAGAGAGAGCCTACACCAACCCACAATGTTAATAGAAATCCACCTTGCTATACTCACGCCGGACTTCTCATCGGATCGCTCAGACTGAAAAAGAGAGACAGAGAGAGAGAGGAAGAGAGAGAGAAAGAGGGAGATTGGATGCAGAGACTCTTTTCAGTCTTAGTTAGCTATTCCCTGTCGGACATCAGTGTGCACTCGGGGAAGCTAGAGCATACATCTCACTTTTCATCCGAGTAACTAGATTGAGGGAAAACCCAGTGACTATTCAGGACCACAGAGGGTGCCCCAATCGACTGACTGTAAATGACAGCCTTTTCATACCCTATACATAGTGATTCCTGCCGTGTATATAGATGAGCAAATCACAGCGAATCCATGGTACATATATTTGGATTTAGTGTGCTATAGAATTTACAGTTTACTCTACAGAGCTGCCTAGCCTGGTGCTCTGAGTTTTTTTTTCCCCCCTGAGGAGGAAGAGAGCAACAATTTAGCATACACTCGTAAGTGTTGTCCATCCTGCGGAAGCTTTACTGTGCATCATTTGAACCACATTAGTACCCTTCCCAGTAATGGACCATTTTAGCCCCTACCTCTTAGATAGTTCTGTGAAGGTGTGGGTGTGAGAGATCATGTGTCTTTAACTCCTGGCTGTGTGGAAACAGACATTTTAGCTCCCACACGCAGCCATGTGGTGTGCACCCAACCCCCTTGAGACTGACTGTGTAACCCTTTACAGTATGTGGATGTGTCTCTGTGACCCAGCCATCACCACCTTCTATAGACCTCACAGTGGTTTTCATGCAAAAAAAGAAAAAAAAAAAAAAAAAAAAAAAAAAAAAAAAAGAAAAAAGAAAAAAAAAGAAGAAAAAACCCTCCATGTTACATTTGAGGTGTACCTTAAGGTTTGGGTTCTTATTTTCTAACCAATTCATCGTGTGTTTGATAGTGAATTCATGAAATCTAAAGCTTTGCCCTGTAAAATTTTAATGTCTTTGCCTTTAAAGAGTGGGTGACAACCATCGCTAGATCACAGCAGTGCCTAATGAAGGTTGGGAACCACAGGAGAGGCTCTTATAGTGTAAATAAGGAAGCAGACAGGCAACCCTTCATTAACTCTGCTGTGTGCTTCCTGCCTTAAAGTGACAAGTGGCGGTGTCATTGCCCTCGCTTGAGTCACCTGTGTGGTGTTGTAAGTGTGCTTGCCACAAGTCAGCGTGCTCCCTGGGTGCCCAGGAGCTAGTATCCTTAGAGCTCTGTGTCTCCAAACTTAACCCCCACCCCCATTCTTTATGTGTCTGTCAGCCCCAAGTCAAACTTACATTAAAAAAAAAAAAAAAAAAAAAAAAAAAAAAAAAGCAAAAACACACACAAAAAAAGCTTTCTTTATAGTTAATCCTAGCTTAACATGGACTCAGGTTCCCCAGCAGCCTTAATTTGCTTTTTGTTACCATTGTTCTTCCTCATTGAGCCCTCCTGAGTATCTCTGAGCTTTCCATTTGGTGTCCCGTGTGTCTTAATGTCATCAGTTGTCCTGTTGATCACAAATTGACTTCCCAGCTTGAGATTTCCTGCGTCCTCCTATGGACTGCCTGTGCTCCTTTACTTCCCCTCCCCTCGCATAATGGCTATATAAAAACAATTTTTTGGCCTTCTGTTGGCTGGGGAAAAAAAAATTTAAAAATTTTAAAAAAACTAAAAAAAAATTAAAAGCTAAAAAAAAAAAGTAAAGTGGATCTGTAGCTGAAAGATCGAAAGCTGTGTACAGATCATTCTGAGAAAGAGAAGAGAAATGCCTGCTGAGGAAAGGGGTCTGACTCTTAGGCCTCTAGATCTGTAGGACTGGAGCTCACAGAGAGTGTGGTTCAGCCGCAAGGGATGGCAGAGTCTTTGAAGACTGGTGAGCAAAGAGCAAGAGACAAGCGAGCCAAAGAAGGGAGTTCCAGAATGACAGCAGATCTAGGAAGGTAATAAGACAGACCAAAGACAACACGTCAGCAGGTATTGGAAGGGCAGGGTGGTAAGAACTAATCGAATGAAGTGTCCTGGGTAGTTGGAAGAAAGGCCTTTTTGATGGTATGGCACGGATGAAGGCCAGCTGCATAGAGAGACCCCAGGTAGAAGCTGACATCCAGGGAAACGGAGGGGCGATGATGCATTGGGGAAGCACCCTTGAAATGGAAGTCAGTGTTGGTATCATCTGGGGAGGTTTGGGGATTCGTTATCATTGACAGTGTTACCCCACTAAACCCTTTTTAGAAAGCAACTTGTCAAGAAGTTTGAGCGCCCATTCTAATCATAACTGAGTAGATTAGGAACAATTGAAATGCCAGACTATAGGAGAAGAATTAAGTTAAAGTGCCCTGGATTCTGATGCAGTTGCTTAAAGGCGATAATCACGGAGAGTTGTGTATCGGATATTCACAGGATATGAGGTGGAGAAAGCAGGACACAAAATTATATTTATACTACAATTATAACTGTTTTAAAATGTACGCTTATAGTCAAAAGCTATTGTGTTGTTGTAGGCTTATAGTCGAGCATTATTTTCTTAAATTTCTAGAATGTTCTTTATGGTAGTGTTACTCAAAAGTTAAGGATCACATTTCCATCGTGAACATAATTGGAATTCATTAATGAAACACTTGGGAAATAACAGAAAAGTGGAGGAAAGATAATCCATGTCCCCACCATCCAAAGATAGATATACTCTTTAATATCTTGTTTTTCTTGTTGCTGTGCACAGGTTTATATATTATAACTGTGTCAAAATGTGTATTCAAGATAGTTGTTCTAGTACTCCTATGTAATTCCGGTAAAATACTTTGATCTGTATGCTCCCTGTAATAGTCTACTGATAATAAGACTTAGTATGTAATGTCACCATTATAAGCATACTATGTGCCCAGTGAAAAATTGGAAAATACAGTAAAATTGAAAAGAAAAATCTACCCACAATCCCCACATCCAACAACTGTTAAGATCTTCATCTGTGTCCTCCATCTTGTGCCATCACACAAACTTGTGATTAAAACAGTGTTAAATAGATTTGCGTAACGTATAAAACAAAAAGAAAAATGGGAAACAATTAAAAAATAGTGTTGGGGGGGTTCATGGTTAAATATTTTGTTCCAAATTTCTTGAATAATCTTTGGTGTTTGGATAACAACCTTTATGTGTGTATTCTGCATCACAAATACAAGACATACTCAAAGAAAACTGGGAAACTGTTGTGAAGTAGAAAAACCAACTGTGTTTCCCACAAGTCCCTGGTAACACCTGGATCTGTGCACCGCACCACGTGTGTGGTTGTTAGGGTGTCGGTGATAAGTACATAGAGTTAACAGACGGAAGAGACCTGGAATAGTGGGGTAGCTGTGGCAGGATTACAGTGAAGTGTGTTTTCTCAGTTTCTTTGAGGGGTCTTTAACATAGTGTTCCAGTAGGCTACCCTTATTGCTTATATTTCCATTATATATGCAATATGTGTCCATTCTAGTAGCCTCAAAGATGTGGAAATGTAGAAGAGAAACTCACCCATATTTTCATCACCCAAAGACTGTGTTAACATCTCGATATATTTTCTTTGTCTTGTTTCTGTGCACAGGCTTTTGGTTTGTTAATATGGTTGTAGTTGTTCTACCTTGTAATAGTGTCAACAATAAAAATAAAGTTAAAAATAAGATCACCGTCAGTCTCTTCTTTCTCTAGTTTATGTGTTTGGGGCTGGCAGCGTTGTGGGACTTGCCGCTGTTGATAAAGTTATAAATTCAAAATGTTAGTGGCCCCTTAGCCCTACAGAGTTTGACTTACAAATCTTCTTATTAAAAACAAAAAACTGTGTGTGTGTACATACATGTGTGGATATTTGTGTGTGAGTATAGGCACATGCACCATGCCCCAGTGTGGGTGTGAAAGTCAGATGACAGCTCAGGTCACCGCCCACCTTCCCATTGTTCAAGAAAAGGTTTCCTTTTGTTCCCCACTCTGGACCCCAGCGTAGATGACTTGCAAGTTTTTTGGGGTTTCACCTGCCCCAGCCTCCAGGATGGTTGTAAAAGTGCTGAGATTATAAATGTATGCAACAGCTGTAGGCTCTACCTGGATTCTGGACTTTAATGCTTTTGTTACACAGTGCTTGGACAATGGAGCCATCTCCTCACTTTATTTTTATTTTAAGGATCGCATATTTCAACAATTACGTCTCAAGGATCTATGGATTCTACATGGGTCCATATTTTTAACTGCACCTCTGAGACTTTTAATCATACTAAAACATAACTTCCCAGTAGTGGTTTTAGATTTTATTATAATCACAAATACATTTTGATTAGTTGAAGGGAAATTTTTAATTGGAAATATGAGGTTCTGTAAAACAAGGTTCATGAATCGTCAGTGTAAGAATAGTAATACCAGGATTTAGCATCGCAATAAGGCATTTATTCCTAACTTTTATTTCAGTTCATTATACTTCACTGCCAGGAACATAACAGTTTAAGCTGGTTATCCTAGCTATGGATAAGGAGTGTGTGTGTGTGTCTGTGTGTGTGTGTGTGTGTAATGTGCATGGAGGCCTGAGCTTAACCTTGGCTGTGCCATTCCTTGGGAACCCACCTTGTGAAATTTCCTGGTAAAGCCAGCATGGCTGACCACTGACCCCTCCCCCACTGATGCACAGATTATGATACACGGGACCAAGTTATAATATGGGTTATATATTTTATTCGGGGAGAAGTCACTTATATGGGAAACCAATGACCCCCAAGGATCCACACCCAGGCTGCTTTCCGTGACCCGACCGGAACCAAGAGAGAGAGATGGGGTCCGGGATCCAGACCTAGCCTTCCCCATCACATCCACACCTGTGATCACATCTGTTTGTGCGTGGCCAATGCAATAGGTGCGGGCGGGGTGGATATCCCACTACAACTCCCCTACCCCAAATCCCCCCCCCCGGCCCCCAGCCCAGGATTCCTTTTCTCCACCCCCACCCCCAACCAGCAACATCCAAGTGCTGGAATTACAAATTTGTGCCACCACACCTGGCTTCTTTTGTGAATTCTGGGTATTAAACCCAGG